AATCAATTTAACCCTGCATTATAGAGCTTAATAGTTTTGAGGTTACCTGTTGTTGTTTAATTTTGGGAGTTGTTCTCGTTCCTCCATTGCAATATTCTTATCTGATTTATATCATCATGATTTCATCCTTGGCTTCTTGTATATTAATCTTGTTTTTTGAAATAATTATGTTCGATGAATTCATAACTCGTTTTATAACCGTCTTGTGACTGACTAAGAGGATACCTTTAATTTTTTAAATTTTCAGCATTATCTTCAAAAGTGATTTGTGTGTATTCAAAGTTTAAAAATTATGACCTGAGGCTTGTGTGATGTTATTACTTTTTTTTTTTCCCTGATTCCGGTACCTTTTCATGTTTTTTTATTATTTATTTTGTTGCAATTTTTTTATTTCATTAATTTCAAAGCTCTGTCAATCAACAACGAGAAGATGTTTTTACATTGGCTAGTTTATTTTTTTTTTGTCTATTTAGCTTTTAATTATTTGCATAACCTTTAAAAAAAAAAATATGTTTGGCGAGTGATGTTTTCTGAGGTTTTTACTTTGGAACACAGTCATAACAATTTGTCTGCACGAGACCATTTTTTTTTTCTTTCCTTAAATTAAAGGTTATGGATCTTTGGAGAATTTTCACTTTATTATTAGGATTATCCTGGTTTGGGGACCTGAAGATTCATTTTTTGTGTGGGAGTTTGTTCCTATGGCAGATTTTTTCGACCTCAGGTAGGTTCCCTCCTGAAGGACGGGCTCCCTGTTTATGACCACTGGAAGTTCATACTGGACGTTTTGTTTCTATTTTTAATTTTCATTAATCCCACAGTGATGCACGGGTCCAAAAGTCCCCCAAAGTTGCCCGGCACGTTGAGTAACGGTCTTTTTACAGACAGGGGAGAAGCCTTAGAAAATCGTTCGCGACCTCATAACGCAGTAGCCATTCTCCTCGGCACGAGTCTCACCTTGAGTTCATCAGATTTTAATTTTCCTTCTCTGGTTATCACTGTCAACAATAGACAATTATTATTATCAAATATTGTTTATTATTATTATTATTAATTATTATATTATTATTATTATAGAATTATTTTACTATTAATAATTATTATTTTCATTATTATTATTATTATTATTATTATTATTATTATTTTTGTTTTCTTTGATTTCTGGCGTTTACACATTTCTTTCCGGGTCCCGCCCAGGACCTTAGGTTAGAAAATGGCGTCATGACACTTTCCACTGACAAAAAAAAAAAAGAATTAAATTACATAGATAAATCCTTCGTAAGGTGTGGGCTGTACTTGTCAGAACAATTTTTGTATCTCCTTGAGGCATGGACTTCAGGGATCCCTTCAATTAGTCTACTGCAATCTTTTCCAACCAGTCCTAGGGCTCCAACTACAACAGGGATTGTTGATGTTCCCATATGCCACATTTTCGAGATTTCTATTTCAAGGTCCTTGTACTTTGACAACTTTTGAATATCTTCAAAGATACATTGCAGTCAGCAGGGACTGCCATATCAATAAGGAGGCATCGTTTTTGTTTGTGGTCTTTAATAACAATATCTGGCCGGTTGGCCTTGATTGTTTTGTCAGTGTGTATTGTGTAGTTCCATAGAATTGTAAAAGGTCCTATCTCCGTAACCGGGTCTGGGTGGTGTTCATACCAGTTTCTTTCAGTTTTCTTCCCGTAGAAGTTGCAGATTTTCCAGTGCAGATATTGGCCCACTCTGTCATGTCGGGTTTTATATTCAGTGGGTGCCAACACCGTACAACCCGATACAAGATAATCAATCGTTTCTGGATATTTATCACAGAATCTGCATTTTGGGCTGACACAAAATTTTAGTATCTGTGCTTGATAATTCCTAGTTAGCAAGCATTGGTCCTGTGCAGCAAGGATAAAACCTTCAGTTTCCGCTTTCAACCCTACACTACGTAGCCACTGATGGGTACGAGTTTTGTCTACGTCAGCTTGTTTGGTACGGGCAGAGTATTGGCCATGAAGCGGTTTATCTTGCCATCGCTTCTGTAGCTGGTCGGTTGCATTCGTCTTTGCTGTCTTTTTTAGGTATTTTGCTGTAGTTGCATCTCTACGCCCATTTGAAACTCGTTATTATTATTATTATTATTATTGTTGTTGTTGTTAATGTTGTTTTTGTTGAATGTGTGAGAGAGTAATACACCAATAAAATGACGCTGGGTTACAAATAAACGAAGGTCAATATAAACATCATAACACCCAGTCTGATACAAGTATACCAAGCACACGCAGCACAGCCAAATGTGCACGATACGGTGACAGGTTATTATAATAGCAGCTTATCACGTGACAAGGGAAATCCAGTTAGAAACACCGAGTTGAAAAACCCAGACCGCGATGATTAATGTGTTCCCAATTATTTCGACGTGTCTCTCAACTGGCCTTGGCTACATCATCCTTAAGACTTAAAGAAAGCAGCTCTCTAGACACCCGGTCAGGTTACACCCCAACTCGTCCCGATCATAAGCATAGATTAGCAATGCCCTCATCCTCTAGGAAACCATTCCAATCTGGTTAAGTTCAGCCAACTAACAATCAAGTCTGTTGTACACCTCCAGTCAATTAAGGTCAAAAGCTATGAGTGCTATAGCTGATGTGGGAGGCACGGTGGAGTAATGGATAGCGGCTTGGATTGAGGAATCGGAGAGCCGAGTTCAAATTCCAGTCGAATCCATTACATTCACTTACGTGCTAACACCCTTAGGAAAGGTGTGAATCCTCTTTCTTCTCCCTCCAGCTATGGGTAAATAGCAGGACAGACTGGGTTCTATAGTCTTGGATGGCAACTGGTCTAGGATGAATTCAAACCTGCTCTTAGAGGAGGGTGAATGGAGTCTCTCTGAGCCTTGGTTGGCAATCCATTTAGTGATGGTGTCACGATAAAAACACCCTTGATAGTCCTAGCGAAGCATCAAGAATTCAGCTATTGACAAGATTATGAACTACACCAATCAAAGTATTAGTATCTCGCAAGATGATAATAGCTGATGTAATATCAGGACAATTATTATTATGTTGTAGAACGTTGGCACATTCAATGGAAATTCTGTTCTTGGGATATAATGCCAACAAGATTCCTCAAGAACCTTTCGGAGAATCTTTGTAGAGTAAATGATGGCAGTTTTGTGGAGGTCTATTAGTCTTAATTCCAGATCTCTATAAGCGCCTTTTCAGTTTTCTAGGTGGTGTTCCATGCACGCCGATTACTACTAGAATTGTGCATGCACTCATGTTCCATAGATTCTTCGGCTCCCTAGCTAGATCCTGGTATCTTTTTCACTCTTGTATCATATGGAATAGCAAAGTAAATAATTTGACAATTGCTATTCTCCTCATCTATAATAATCAGTTATGGTCAGAATCTATGAAAGCCATACCTGATGTAGCATTATCACGTTTGGAGCATTGCCAAAGAATCTTGCGAAGTGATTAGACAAACAGGAACTGTGGCTGTCGGCGAGAAGGGGTGGGGGTCAAAGACCTCCAGAAGACAACATTACTAAAACCAGCTCGAAAGCCAAGAAAAGAAGACTCTATGTCATCTATTCAGGATCGAAAGCCACTATTTGTTATTGATTGAAAACCTCAATGTTTACAAATACTACTACTACTACTACTACTACTAATAATAATAATAATAATCTACAACTAATGTTATAGGATGATGAATGAGATTCTGAATATTTGGGCAGGACTAGCAAAGAAAGTAATTACAGTATCAGTGATCATAGGAGCACTGGGGTGTTGTACAAAAGGTATGGAAAAATATTGCAGATATTGGATTGTAAATTGGAAGTAGAGCCTTTCAAAAAGATTGCCTGCTCGGAACAGCCGTAGTAATTCAGTAGAAGAAAAGAAATGATTGGTTTATTTTTTAAGTGACGAGGTGTGACCTGAAAATAAACTTTTAGCTGTAATTCGCTGCATTAGTGTTGAAACTTGACTAATGCATGGAATAATAATGCAACACAAAAGGTACTTAGAACAAAATGTATTGAAACAAGAAAATGTACACAATATTTACATATAGTCTTTTGTATATTCCTGGTAAGACAGTTCCTGGAGAATGTGTTGACTGAGTCGCAGTCGGGCAGAGTCTCTGGTTGAATCTCTTGATTCCTGTATTTATCTATCCACCCACGAGGATAAAATGTGGCACAAGGCCGGTTTAAAGTGGGTATCTCCGAGCCCGTAGGCTCGACCAAAAATATGGCCTTTCTGAACCCGCCTAGACGGGTTCAAGGCCTGTCTACCACCCCGGACGAAACCCTGTCTCTCGGCAAAGCCTCGTCCGGGTCCCTCACTGCAAAATGCAGAGAGTTCGACTGGGAGTGAATCTCTTGATTCCTCCCTCTCTTCCCGGTACCAACCATATTTATATGGTCGGTACTCCACTATGCAAATTAGGTGGATCCTACCACAACAATTAGTATTACTACAACTACTACCATTAATAATAAATGTCATTATGCCACACAAGGCATGGTTCCCGTATTTTCTGATCTTAATTGGTTGGAGAAGATAATATGTACATTTTCGTCTTGGTGACTAAAGATGGGCTACATGCAATATCTCGTTTAGTTCCCATATTTGTTTGTCTATTGCCTAACCTTCACTAGTTTGCTGCATGGTGTATTACTGTTCATGAATACATCGTCACATAAACATTGATCGGTTGATTTTTTTTACGGCTTATCAACCCTTTGCAGGACATTTAAGGCTAGAAAATATTTTTAGATTGTAAGAATTTATTTTGGTGGTGGGTAGATAAGGATAATTATTTTTAGTGATAGAAGTCTTACTAATTAATCCATAGCTATGGAGAGAGGGGGTGGATTGAGACCTTTCCCAAGGGTATGTGCGTGGGAGTAAATATAACGAATAAAACGGGAATTAGAACCCAGCTCTGCGATTAACAATTCCGAGCCATTACCCATTACATTTTTCCCGCACATTCAAGCTTACAGCACGTAATATTCCCAAACGTTCACCCATCTGAGTAGTGACCAGGCTCGACGTTGCTTAACTTCGGTGATCGTACGGAGACAGGTTTTTGAGCGTGATGCGAATAGTAATACACAGAGCAAGAAATTGTTTATGGTCAGGCAACAGACAAGAAAATACACCTCAGTATTAGTGAACTGGGTTTTTCGACTCTGTTTTTCTAACTCAATCCAAACTGCTGCGTGATATGCTACTTTTATCAGAACACGTCACCGTATCGGGCACATTTGGCTGTGCTGCATGTGCTTGGTGTACCTGTATCAAAATGCGTGTCATGATGGTTATAATGGGCTTCATATATTTGTAACCCAGCGTCATTTGTTGGTGTGTTGCTTTGTAACGCAACACAACAAAATCATCACCTCCACCACCAACACCACCACCGCCACCACCATCAACAACAACAACAAAATAATAATAATCCTCTCTCTTGGAAAAAAAGATAACTATATAATAATATTTTAAATAATTATGACTGAGGCAATAGAATATACGGTTAATTTTCAGTGTAACACCCGCGCTCAGTTCGCGTTAAAAATTTCCAGAATACTTACATTTATGTGTAATTGTACATGCTTCATTCGAATCTGGCTTCATAGATTTGATAAACTCTACCGTTTTAGACTTATCGGCAGTGAAAGTTCAAATTCATTCGCATTACAGGCGTTGTTTGCATCCATTCGCTGCAAGTTTTCATTGCGTAAACTGAGCGTGTCTACGTAAATAGTTCTCGTGCGGAGTAATTGAGACAAATTTAAACAAGAAAGATCAGTTCCACGCTTAGATTTCTGTAGTCTTCCGCGTTTAGCTTTCCGCAGCGAATGTATTCAAACAACGCGAGTATTGGCTGCTGCAAACAACGCGATTGAATCCCAAATTTCACTGTCGATATCTCCAAACGGTAGATTTTATCAAATTTATCAAGCCAGATACGAATGTATCATGTACAATTAAACATAAATTTAGGTATTTTGGACATTTTTAATACGATCTGAGCGCCGATGTTACACTGCAAATTAACCGTATATACATGAGATTGTATGTATTAGAAATCCAACCAAATTTTTAAACTGTCGTGAAGAGGTGGGGAGAGTTATAGGCTGGGTGTCGACGACTGGACATGAAGCGGTGTATTCATATTGAGAAAGATGTGGTCTTAAACAGACACATCATTAATTTAACTCAAATCCTAAATGGACAAATGGAAGAAATAATATACCGGGAAATCTACTGAAATCGATGGACATTTAGAAAAACAAATGAGGGAAGCGAAGTTGTGGCTTTTCAACGAAGAGAGAAAGATTTAGTAGCATGGAAAAAAGACACTTTTCTAATGAGACGGTTGGCAAGAGAATGATATAAGAGGGGACCCCCTAGAGCTGTACACTAGTAAAATAGCAGAATATTTAACATGTCAGTGGCCGAATTGATTGCTAGCTTTATGAAAAAATTGGAAAGTAAACTTGACAGGCGGTGGATACTTAAGAGAAGTAAGTAAGAAAATATAAATTTTCAGGGAGGCCATTCATCGTCATTGTTATTTGTTTTAACTAAAACACCGATAAATCTAATTTTTGAACCTCTGTGAATTCTGTGGGGAATTTTGGCAACGTTAGTACCTTGATGTTTTAAAATACTCCACTTGAAATAGTATAGATGTATAATTTAGTTAATTTTATTGTTATATTTTGTTGTGAGGATTTTTTCCGGTTTTCAGAGTAGGAATAAAAATAAACAGAGAGGGAAGCTTTTAATTTGCCAAAAAAAAATATATGGTTAGAAGAATAATATTAACATAGATTCGTCAGTTTCCAAAATTCAAATATCCAGAAATAGGTTTCAATTTACTTTCAATAAACAAATATAACTGCTCACATTTTGCAAAAATATGACTAAAAAAAAAGACGGTCATTGTAATTAAATAACGGCAGTATTTAGAATTTAATTTGATTCTTTACAACTTATCAACCCTTTTGTAGGTTATTTAAAGCCGAAACTTATTTTGCATTGGCATGTACACCACACCCGTTTAATTGTGAAACGCTTCTACTCCAACAGTTTTTTCTCTTCCCACCCGTGGAATTGACTTCCGTTTAATTGCGTCTCTGATAAGTAAAATCTTCAAGAGTTTAAATGCCATGTCTATCGCCATTTTCTATCTTCTTGAATCCCGTTCATCTTATGCCCTTTCCTTAATCCTCTCTATACTCTAAATTTCACTCCCTTTAACCCCACTGTGCACTAGTATTATTTCCACCTTTCATGGGTTGATAAATAAATAAATAAATAAATAACTTTTGATTTGTTTTGCGAATGAATATTATATTATGGATGATGAATTGTTTCCGAACTTTCAAGCCCTTTACCGCAGATAAAACTTTGCAGGCCTCTCACTACTCTACCGTTATTTCCATGGAAAAATGTTAAAACGAGCTAAATTCCTTAGTTCCCCAAAATTACGCTACCCGACTAAGGCCCGCCACGCCACGTACATTGAAACGAACCACCGCCATTCTCTTTGTATTCCATTAGCAAAGAGTAAGTGACACTCCGATAACTTCTTCCCAAGAAGTCTTGATTTGAGGAACAGAATCCCAGGAGAATGCACCCCCAATCACTATCTTCATCCTTTCTAGTGTAGCGTTAGCCATCATCTCTCACACATAAACTGAGATCCTTATCCTACAGCATACACCATAACCGTTTTCAGTAACTAGTCCTCGGGCCTTGTATAGTATGAAATTAGTATAAAAAAAGTTTGGCTACAATTCTAGAGAAGTGTTTAGCAAACGTAGGGTTCCGCAAGAGGTCGTTAAGGGTTCCACGAGAAACAGTAATTAAATAGGATAATCCATTGTTTTTTTTTTAATTCTTGCTTAATTTTATATTCGTAATTCTGTTATACATGTACGCTCTATTCTTGGAAGATCATTGCTTATTATAATAAAGGCGTCAACTTATTATATTATTTAAAATTATAGCGATAATATGGAACGTTATTTAACGATGCCAAAATGGCGTCAGTGTGAAACCGCCTTCACTGGTTAGTGGGCAGAATCTGTCCGTGGCGGATTCCGGTAGATGGTGGGAGAAGTGGATTAATGAATTTATGGGAATTTGTATCGAAGTGGTCATAACAGATGACCTTCGAATTAGAACTCTATACATACACAGGAGTACTCGAAATTAGGAGTACTCCAGTGTGACTTAAAAAAAAAACGCTGGGAAGACAAAGTGGTATCTTCAACTGACAAAAAATACTAAAAACTAAGTTAAAGGAAAAGAAACGTTATAGAAAACGGTGAAAAACAGGGTATCATCGGTAGTGAGGTACGTATGCCATTATTCGGCTAGGCAAAAGAATAACGAAAGGTAAATGTCTATATTTGGACACATAATAAATGTGTACAAATATAGAAATTTCGCAAGTGAACTGAATTAACAGGAATGCATAATGCCTATAGTAGTGCCCATCGTTGCAGGAGTACTTGAAACATTATTGTCAATCTTGCGAAAAGACTGGAAATAAAACTAGATGCTATATTCCGTACATATGAACAGTAAATAGTATGTTCCAATACTCAGTAATACGTTGGACACTATTATAATATGCTGTCTAAGTAGTCCATTACTAGCAGTGGTTTACCGACTTCACGCCGCTGGCGAGTATTGTATTTTTTTGATGTTATAAAGATTACCATTTCATTTTCAACCTCCGTTTTGGTTATTCCTCATTTAGTAACTCTTTCGAGGTTACAACACTAGAAAAACGAAAATGAATCCTACGAGACACATCAGACTTGATTATTACTGACCACCAGTAAATGAAGTGGAATGTTGGGTTTTTGAAGGAAATTGCAGTAAGGAAGGATAAAATAAACCGAAAAAAATACTACAACATAATAGTTGCATGCGTAGAGAAAAAATATTCTTCTTCTAAGTTACTTCAGAAAATTGGCGATGATAGCTCTACATAACTTCCTGTTCTGTGAAGCATTTACAAATTTTTGCCTTTTTGCTATACCTCCTTGTTGTGTTAGGATCCACCTAATTTGCATAGTGGAGTACCGACCATATAAATATGGTTGGTACCGGGAAGAGAGGGAGGAATCAAGAGATTCATCCAGAGACTCTGCCCGACTGCGACTCAGTCAACACATTCTCCAGGAACGGTCTTACCAGGAATATACAAAAGACTATAGGTAAATATTGTGTACACTTTCTTGTTTCAATACATTTTGTTCTAAGTACCTTTTGTGTTGCATTATTATTCCATGCATTAGTCAAGTTTCAACACTCCTATTCCATGTTCGGCTTGTAGATACATTTTTATAGCACTTCCGAAGAAGCCAGATACAAATTAATGTGAACTCAATCAGACAATCAGTGTAATGAGCCGTATAAAAATACTTCAAATTATGATGAATAGATTCCGCAGCAGAGATCAACCGGAAATAGGACAATTCAGGGCAAGTTTCTTAAAGACATTGTAACAAGGAAAGCGATATTTATACTCAGAATAATAACAGAAAGAGCAATAGAAATGCAGATGTATGTGTATACGTATTTTATAGAATATGAAAAGAACTGTTGGAACTGCTACTTAACAAAAAGGTGTTCCAATAACTTTTAAATGGGAATTAAGTTTAAGCATCTAATGATTTTTTCTTTTTCTTTCAGATTTGGCGATCATTTGGGCGATATTATTTTTCACACATAATTGCTAGGGCATAACTAACATGATCCAATAAAGAAATAAATAATTTTTCACCAATAACACTGATTTATTTACTGCTGACTTTGATCCGTCTTAATGAAACACCCTTATATATAATCTGCCTTAATGAAAAACACTTTATAACAATATTTGTGAAATAGTATTTTAATAATCCAGAATTTATGCTTGCAGCAAACCGCTTGCATACTGATAGAAAAAACCAGAAGAAGCTTGCTTATCAACTGATGAAAATTAATTCAGGCAATATGCAAAAAAAGAAGTGTTGATTAAGACAAGCACTACAGAAGGTAGTGAAGGAAAGAGAAGAAGAACTA